TCTGCTATGATGCCCTGATTTTGAAAGCAAGAACAATACATATTTTTGTACCTGGTATATACTATTAGGTCACCTCTATCAGAAAACTAGATTATTTTCTACTTTCTTCGGTAGCAAAGATGATTGAGTGTTTTCACTCAGATTTAAACAACTTTTTCTTTGAATACATGTAAGTTCCGTGTCACCATTGTATGAGCAGCAAAAAGATCAGTCATGATTCAAGTTTTAGCCGATACTGCAGAACTTCTCTTATAAAGAGTTAGAGGCAAGTAAATACATGGTAACAATTTTCCTATAATTCTATGAATGTACCCCTTACCCCATTTAGCCCACTCCACCAAACCTCTGAGAACCATGATAGTGATGATGAAATGCAGCCATTATTTTATGTGTGTAAATTCCCCTCAGAGAGATGAAACGTGTATGCACGTGTCACAAGTTGCTTACTACTTGTTAGCTCTTCTCTGCAAAAAGGGCAAACGTAATAATTATTTTTTATAATTTTAAGTCACCTCCTGAAGAACAGAAAATAGTAAAGAAGTATTAAGCATTGAAAGTCATTTTAAAATGCTGCTATCTTAGGGAGCCTTAAATTCCGAAAATTGTAAATCAGCAGTCACCTCACAGACACAGGGTTTGAAAGTCAGGAACATGAGAGCAGTTGAGTACATCCATCTGAAGCCACTTGTGAGAGACTAGGAGTCTGTTGAGCTTATGAAAGAGAAAGAAGTAATGATTCAGATAGGGAGTCCCTGTTCTCTTTAAACTTTAGCCATTCTTGTTTAGCCAATTCAGTTATTCCCAAATGAGAGCAAAATAAAACAAAATATAAGAACTTATGTATTTTATTATGCTTTGCGGTATTTACACATTGAAAAACTAAAGGCATCACATTTTTCTAATCTACTCACTGAACACATCTGTTGTACTGCATGGCAAAGTGGAAATATAAAGGAAACAAGATTAAAGAACACAGTGGCAATAGTAAGATCTAACACTGGCAAAGGACCCACTGTATGGCAGGCACTATACTAATCTCTATTCAAGTTTTAACATGTTGGAATTCCACAACAGTATTTTTTTCCTTATACGAATAGGGAAGGGAAGATGAAGGACCCAAGTGATTGTAATAGTCCTGAGTTTTCAAATATTGAATTGGAGTCTATGTCTCTACTATTGGACTATGGAGTTCTTACCCTTTTAGCATAACTATAAAATGCGTGTGTGGGATACAATACATTTGTGTGTACACCAGGCAAACAGAAGTAAGCAGAAATTTGAAAACAGAAGAAATCTAAGATTTTTTTTCTGAGATAGACTTTCTCTGTGTAGCTTTGGAGCCTGCCCTAGAATCCGCTTTGTAGACCAGGCTGGTCGAGAACACATAGAGATCCACCTGCCTCTGTCTCCCAAGTGCTAGGATTAAAGGCGTGCGTCACCACTGCCCAATCCAAGATTCTTGTATCTAAAAAGGTTTTGTGCAAGAAACAAATTTAGAATATACTGATTCACTGCTTAGAAAGGTCTGTGTTCTTTTTCTCAAGAGAGAAAACTGAGTTTATTTAAATCCTATTCCATATTCATTAGTAGAATGAAAGGCTGCCTACATTGAACTTCAAAAGTACTTCATGGATAAACAATGTAACTACATCTTTGTTTTTAATTTACTAGAAAAGAATCTGTGCTTTATAAAGTTATTAAATCATACTTAATAGCTACTTTTTTATAATAAAATTAACAATTGAAGTAGCTATTTTTATGTATGTATTCTGTAACATAGATTGAACTTTTTGAATAGCCTATTCATATTTATATAAATCACTTTATTATAAGAAATTTACAAACAAAATACACTTTGCAGATATATTAATATAGTGACTCAAATAAACACTTGCCCATATGCAAAGTCTATGCAAGTCATCAAATTCTCTATACAATCAGAGCAGCCATTTAGAAGCTGTGAAACTTCACTTTGGAATTTACAGCTTCACTATCAATTATAGTTTTGCACTTATCCACTACATACAGAGAGAGAAAAATGCACAAATAAAAATGAAAAATCAGTGACATTAAACTAGAAAAACAATTTGCTTTATATTCTCTTTTACAACTCATGTGTTATTTATTTGCATCCTGTCCTTCCTCATCACCTAATATTTACCTTCCCTTGATCTCCAAGAAATTCTTTCCCAACTATACTTCAGACAAGGGGTTACTATCCAGAATTCACAAAGAATTACAGAAGTTAAATACCATGGAAATCAAACTGCCAATCAACAAATGTACTAATGAATGGACAATTTTCAAGAAAAAAAAAGAAGAAACACAAATGATCAATAATTATATTTTAAATGTGCTCAACATCTTTAGTCAACAGGAAAATACAAATAAAACTACTTTGGCCAACCACATCACCCAAGTCAGAATAGCGACCACTAACTAATCCAACAGCAAAAGATGGAGAGCATGTAGAAAATAGAGGAACCTTTATTCACTCCTGGTGGAGATACAAATTAATAGAGCCATTATAGAAATAAATGTGGACATTCCTCAAAAATTAAAAATAAAACTAGCCTATTCCTCAGCTACTTCATTCTCAGGCACATGCCCAGAGAATTTGATACTCCACAGCAGAGATGCTGTTTTATTCACTATATCAAGAAAACAGAACCAACCTAGGTATTCATCAGCAGACTAATGGGGAATGAAAATGTGTACATTTTAAAGTGGAATGTTATTCAGCTCCAGGGAAAAATTATATAACAAAATTTGCAGAAATATAGATGAGCTAGAATATGTATGACTGTCTATATTCCTCAAAATGTATATAATGTAATGTGTTTTATAAATATACGGTAACATGAAATCTAAATATTTTAAGATACATTGTACGCTAATAAAGTTAGCCACTTAACTTAGATAATAACTTTTTCTGACAAAAATATCTTAAAACAATTTGAAAATAATATATTGGAATGATATCAAATAATACATTAGCCACATTCCTAGTAGGCCTCAAAAGGTGCTGCTACTTCACTTTGGTATAAAACTTGAGCTAAAATTTCACCCGTTTATTTTATCTCAGAATTATTTCTGTTTTATTATTTCTCATACTGAAATATTGAGTCTACTTTTCATATAACCAATTAAGAAAAATTCTACATCTTGTGTGGCTCTCTGTTTGTTCCTTACTATTACATTGATTTAATGCCTTAAGTACATTTTGAACTTGATCTTTCTTTCTTATGCCAGTATAAACTGACTATTTTAGGTTAACTTTTTTCCTAAATAAATGCAGTTCCTTTCCATTTTCTTAAATTGCATTCAGGTTTCCTTCCTTCCCATCTTATCTGTTTTTTCCACTGCAATAGGGAAAAAAAAACTTTTCCAAAATACAGATTCCACTATGTCCAATGTCAAGTCTACCTCTTAGAATTAGGTTACATGTCTTTCAGTCTTGCTCCTGTGAAACTATCTTTCTCGAGTCCTTTCTAACATATCCAGTTTTCATTCCTTCCAGGCTTTGTGCACATCGTTACTTGAAATTGCCATTTTGATGATTGCCAAATTGTCATTCATTCTTGAAGACAATACAAGTAGTCTGGAATCCTTGTTTCTTTTTATTGAAATCATTTTGGTAGTTTATATGATTTTCTATTATACATTATGTTAAATTTCTATTGTTTACATGTATAGCTTTCTTTCCTGTTTACAAGAGGCTTTTGTTACAATGATAAAATAAATAATAAAATAAAATAAATAAATAAAATTTATTTATCATTGTAACAAAATTCATGAGCACATGCTCATAGGATTGTTTAGGGCTTTGGACTGATGTTTATAACGGTCATTGATTTTACTTGTTGATGTTTTAAATTAACTTATAAGGTAGTTATTATAGGTAGATAGCAGTGTCTTTATTAAAAAATGTCTAAGTTACTGTAACTATTTTTGTTACTCAATAAAACATTGAATTACTAATATGCCTATGATCTGTCTACCCTTGTGGTCATAATTTTCATTCCCCAGTTTTACAAAGATAATAAACAATGGCATTCAAATACAGGATTTTAATCATCATGTATACAATGAGTTATGGGACACTTACCAAAGAAAATGTTCTTTACCAACCTTTTGAATCCAGTGCTTTTTTAAATTTCCACCCTCCAGTATCACATAAAATGTACCGCAATAAATATCCAGATGTATAAATACTAAGCAAAAATATAATAATTTAGTTACATATTCATTTGTTCCCAACTATTCAAGAAACATTTGATTATGATTTGTACTTTAATTTTTTTCTAAATTTTAACTATGGCTTAGGATTCAACAAGATAAAATAAGACGCTGACTTATTTCCCCAGTTACGTAGTATCCATCAATCAAGTATTGATCTTTAACACAACATTATCAAGGTCTTAAACCAAATGGACACATATGTGTAAACACAGCTGTTTGCTTCAATACTTTTACCCCAACTTGCTTTGTCCCACAATCATCAGTCATTTCTCCACTTACCCAGTCAAAAAGTGCCTTAAGAACTACAGGGCATGAGTCCTATCCCACCATTGCGTTTAATAGGTTAGTTGAAACCCTCTACCTTCCTGTTTAGCTTGCCAGTTTTACAAACCTGTGCTCGACTTTTTCTGTCCTAAATCTACCTTTATTCTTTTCAGTTTTCTACATAAAAATATATCTATTAAATACTTTTTCAATTTAATTCAGATTTACTTTTTGTAGAAAATAAATATGATGTACATGTCTGATTTTATAAGACCGAGTATTGTTTAATTGGTAGACAGTAGACAATCCTTTGAAATAAGCCAAGGAACCAAAGAGAAGCAGTAAACAATAGAGGTTTTCTCCTTTTTCTTTATTTATTGATTGATTGACTGATTTGTTTGTTTATTTGTTTATCTGAAGAAGTTAAGCACTCTGCATTGGCATCTTTGCATCCCATTCACAGTAGGTCACATATGCATTATGCTCTATTTCAGGAACTCCACATATTGTATGAAAGTATCCATCTCACTGACAGTAGGAGAAAATGACACGGGACTCTGCTACAATTCCAAGATGAAGTACTTTGAAAAAGCTGAACTCAGCAAAAGCAAGGAAATTTCATGCCGAGACATAGAGGACTTTTTATTACCAACCAGAGAACCTGAAATCCTTTGGTACAAGGTATGGATTCTGGAAGATTTTACTGCCTACAAATAATTTAATGTGCATCTTATTCTAGAGAAATCTGTGTAAAAGATTAGTTAAGATATACCTCATGTCTTACAGAGTGCTATAGCAAGTTGCGCTGGTCATTACAGGTTTTTTTTATGAGATTTTATTTAATTTTATTTATAACACTCATGTGTATGAGTGTTACCTGAATGTATGTCTGTACCAGGTGTATGCAGAACCTGAACAGGCAATTAGAGGACATCAGATCCCTGGGACTGGAGTTATAGATGGTTGTGAGTGGCCATGTGGGTTTTAGGAATTGGATCTTGGTCATCTGAAAGTGCAGACAGTGCTTTTAACTGCCTAGCCCCTGGTCAACATAAGTTTTAAATATCATATGCTTTGATAAATAAAGTATTGGTTAATACTAGCACGGTTGGTCTACTGCATAAGTTGTTGTGTTAATATTTAAATCTTGCTTATATCAACAACTGTCACACAAATTTGGAAACTGAAACAGACTGAACAATCATTTCTCGGCTTAGCATTCCAGCATATCCCAAAGCAAGAAAGAAACAATACTCATTTGTTTTATGGTACCCTAATTTCAATGGAATATTATATTGAATGGTCATAACTTTGTGTATATTATAATCATTTCATAGATAAATATGCATATAAATAACATATTAGAAAACCGATAATATTACAATAGTAGCATTTCCTTCAAAAAGAGAATAACCCAGTCCTTTTTGGCTATCACATTGCTGATATTCACTGGTCTTCCAAAAATACTTATGGTTTTAAGCTTAGTTTTATGACCCAAGAAGATTTTTGGTTTTGGGCATACTCAAAATTTAATATAGAATCTGTGAGGGTTCATGTTGCTAAAGTTTTCCTGTCTGGCCCACAGTCAGGACAAACTGTCCACCAGTCCCACAACCACTCAGACCCAACCAAGTAAACACAGAGACTTATATTGGTTACAAACTGTATGGCCGTGGCAGGCTTCTTGCTAACTGTTCTTATAGCTTAAATTAATCCATTTCCATTAATCTATACCTTGCCACATGGCTCATGGCTTACCGGCATTTTTACATGCTGTTTCTCATCATGGCGGCTGGCATGTCTCTTTCACTCAGCCTTCCACTTCCCAGCTCTATTCTCCTCCTTGTCCCGCCTATACTTCCTGCCTAGCCATGGGCCAATCAGTGATTTATTTACCAACCAATCAGAGCAACACATTTGCCATACAGAACATCCCACAGCACTCCCCCCACCTTTTTTTTTCAAAAAGGAAGGTTTTAACCTTAACAAAGTAAAATTACATATAATTTGGGAATTTGGGCATAGCTTTTCTTACTACTTCCTGCTGGAGGGGGGCGCAGTATCTTCTGGGGACACAAAGAAAATTTTAGAATTATGGAATAGTCCATGAGGGTGTATCGTCTGAGCCAGTTGCCTTCAAATCATTTTGGATGTTGGATCATCTGGGCCATGGTGTCATCGGAGACCTTTCAGGGGGTCTTGGCTGGTCAAACTTGATGTATCTTAATCTGGAACAAATCCATAGCCTTTGACTTTCTGTGGGAACAAAAGCAGAGTCTCCTTTCCAAAGTAACATATCCTTACATCCAAATTTTGAAGTCAAGGTACCTTTAAAATATACATTTTGGCATAACTCAACAGCTTTTGCAATCAAATGTTTTTCTTCAGTTACGAATATCAAAGAGAACATAATCCAGATTCTCTGTGTGGTAGCCATCTTTATGTGGCTTATATTTTATATTAGCTTGAGCCTATTGCTTTAAACTGCAGCCTTCTAAGCCTGAAACGGCGGTGGGTGCTGTGGCTGCTGGCTCCGCCCACTTTAGCTTCCCAACATGGCGGTGATACGTTTTCCGCCAGCTCAGGGAGCCATCAACTCTCAGAAATAGTGGGTCTTTGCTTCTATCAAAGCAGCGTGTAGCCCAGAAACCTCTTTTTTTTTTGTTTTTTGTTTTTTTGTTTTGTACTAGCAAAGGCTAAATCCACCACACAGCTTAATGTGCCACTTGCAGAGGCCTCATTCCCGGCCATACTGCAGGTCGAGCATGCACGCCAGGAACCCGCCATAGTAGCTCAAACACGCAGGCTGCAGCTAGCTTAAAAGAGACAACTAGGAGCTGTTTTTAGCTCCATTTTAGAATCTTTTTACTCAGGTTTTAGGTGGAAACTCTTGCCACCACGTTGGACGCCATTTGTTGCTAAAGTTTTCCTGTCTGGCCCACAGTCAGGACAAACTCTCTGCCCGCCAGTCCCACAGCCACTCAGACCCAACCAAGTAAACACAGAGACTTATATTGGTTACAAACTGTATGGCCGTGGCAGGCTTCTTGCTAACTGTTCTTATAGCTTAAATTAATCCATTTCCATTAATCTATACCTTGCCACATGGCTCATGGCTTACCGACATTTTTACACGCTGTTTCTCATCATGGCGGCTGGCAGTGTCTCTCTCACTCAACCTTCCACTTCCCAGCTCTATTCTCCTCCTTGTCCCGCCTATACTTCCTGCCTAGCCATGGGCCAATCAGTGATTTATTTACCAACCAATCAGAGCAACACATTTGCCATACAGAACATCCCACAGCAGGTTCATATGGAAATAGTTTGTACACAAAAACTCCTAACTTATCATTTTCTTTGTCTAATTGGTTGGGAGTTGGACTTTAAGAAACTAAGCTTCATACTACTTAGTGTACACCTATCAGAATTGTAATGTTAACCCTTGTAATTAATTGCCCATGAATTAGAATAAAAACTATTAAAAAATAAAACAAGGAACCTGAACAAGTTAAAAAACATTTCTTCAAAATTATCAGCATTCTTTTCAAAGGCTTAACTTCATTTCTGGATATCAAACAATGGGATCTCAGAACATCACGGGAACTGTTGAACCATTTTTCAGCTCTTCCCTTAGTTTCCAGTCCTGGACAATGTCAAATATCACTAAATTATTAGCACAACAGGGAATATTTAAGAATATGATGAAACCAAAGTTTTCTAAAACCACATTTTTTTTTTAGCACTTGTGTGTGAACATTCTAAACTTGAGTCTTTTTTTTTTTATGGATAAGTTGATTTTGAGATATTTATTTTTCCTTATCATTTGCAGTGAACATTTTAAGTTTTTCTGAAGTATAAGAGTAAACACACATACTTGTGTACCTTTCATTTAAAAGAAATTCAACAAATTCAACTTCAATTAAAGTTTCCTGGTTTCCTGGTATTTATTTCGATATGTTGTCACCATTGCAGTAGTCATTTAAGATATAAAAAGCATCATAATAGAGTGTTATCTAGAGACACAGTACATATCATATGACACTTTAAATTGTGTTTTTTTTAGTCAAGCCTTAACCTCTGCCACATAATATGGACATTAAGAGGCTAACTCTAAAGTATGATACTTTAATAAAAATGTGTGCAATTATGACTGTTTATGCAACTAATATAAGGAAATAATATGTATATTTTGGGTTGAAATAACTGAAAAAACTACACATAATTACACAGAGGCACTGACTCACATATTATAATGGCCCTTAAAAACTTTACTTGCCAATGAATAGTTTTACTTGTCTATAGTTTCCCAAAATTTAAAGCGATTTTGTCCTCATTCTATTAGTTTACAGACTAGTCTGAGAATAGGGATTTATGTTTTTGGAAAAACAGAAGTTCTTAACCCAATAACCTCACCATCAAACAGATCATAATTTTGTATCTCTATTAATAATAAAAATAGATATTTATGGTATGTGACAAATGAAGATCCCTCATCCACTAATAATCAGAGTGTAATCTAGTATAGCTCTTATGGTAATCATTACAGATACTTTTCAAAATGTTAAAAATAGAACTTCCATATGACAGAATCATACCATTCTTGGGGTAGACCCAAATAATCATATATCCTACCACAAGATACATATGTATCTGTTTTATTGCTGCATTTTCACATCAGTAAGGAAATGGATCAAGCATAGATGCCCATATACAAATAAATGCATAAAGAAAATGTGTTATATATACACAATGTAATTTTGCTCGAGCATAAAGAAAAAAAACTTCAAGAAAATAGATAGAACCAAAAAGTATTATATTAAATGATGTTTCCCCATCTTAGAAAAAAATTACATATTCTCAGATATACATATTCTGTTGCTGTATATGTACATGTAAGTAAGAGTTTGTGAGAGTGATCATAGATTATCAGACAAGGTAGAACTGCACAAGTAGGAAGAGATGTTGCTAAAGCCAACTAAGGTAGTCAAGGTAAGTGAGGAAAGGTGACATGGCAGTAGAAAAGAGGCTACTGAGCATGCAAGGGCACAAATCAAGAGGGAGGGAGACAGAGAAGAAGAGTGTACAAGAGAAACAATAAAAGAAAATTTTGTTTGGAAAATGCTATAATGAAAACTAATTATTTGTGTGCTAATAGAAAATCAAAAGGCCTTTTATACAAATGTTAAATGTTTCTTCAGTGTATAGAGGTTTTGCTTTTAATAACTGCAGCAATTATATCTTGGTATAATATGGAACAGAAAAAAATTATCTTATAAAACTTTTTTCCATTGTTTATTTAATAATACATTTTAAATTTTGTGTAGTGAATAACAAAATAGTTAATTTCACAATAATCCTCTATGATTTGCTTTTAAATTTTATGTTGAGTGTGATTAACATATACCTGTTATTGTATCTAACAAATCAATACGTATCTACTGTGACCCTGAAACTACTCTTCAAGTAGTTTCTGATTTCCAGATTTGGAATAAAAGAATGTAATCCTAACTTGAGGCAGGTTGATCAGGACTTAAAGCCTCATCTCAGTTACATAGCAAGTTCAAGGCCAGCTTGATCTACAGGAGACCCTGTGTAGGTTTTCTTTTGATGAAACCAAAAACTACTGCTTTAATGGTTCAAATTTTTTTTACTTATCATGTATACTACTCAATTTTATGTTCTTTGCATAGGAATGTAGAACAAAATCATGGAGACCAAGTATTGTGTTCAAAAGAGATACCTTACTCATAAGAGAAGTCAAAGAAGATGACATTGGAAACTACACCTGTGAATTGAAATATGGCGGCTTTGTGGTGAGAAGAACCACCGAGTTAACTGTTACAGGTAATCACAGTCAATGTTTCATTTGCAAGTAAAGAAAATGCCTCATGAGTCAGTTTCAGGGCTGTATATTGATATTTTCAAACGTGGGTATGAAAATAAGCACTCAAGCAAATGCTGACTGCATTCCTATAGGTGAAATTGATTCCTCCTTGTTTTTAAATCATCTTATGCTGAAATACATTTGAAAGGTTGAATAGAATATGTTTAGAGAAATATACAAATATTAGCTTTTGAAAGTACTTGAAATAATGAGTTTACAATGTTCAAAGATTATGCTTGTACTTTGTAGTGGAATCATTTTTAGAAACATTTTTTAGAGTAATGGAATGGAATACATGAAGTCTATCTCTGTATTTATGTGAACATTAGAAATCTACCTCTCCTGAATGTTAGACAAATTCTTTTTCTGTTTCACTTATTTATCACTATATAGATGACACATATGATGGAATTGCTAATCAAAATGACTCTGAGATACAATCTCACACCTCTCAGAATGGCTAAGATCAAAACCACTGATGACAGCTTATATTGGAGAGGATGTGGAGAAAGGGGAACACTCATCCACATATGATCTCATAGGCTAAAAAAAGAAAAAGAAAACAATTTCAGACAAAATCATTTAAAAATGTAAGATTATTTTTAAGGATCACAGAATCATCCTCATATCTTGTTAATACAGAAAGTAACCAGAATAGTATTAGAGCACTGCTTATTAAAAAAACAATGTACAATTCACAAGTCTAACAAATTTAGTTGAATTATTGTAAGCTCCAGAGTATAAGTTTACTAATGTATAAAATGATTAAGATGAAATTTGCCTTATGGGGGATTTTCAAATGTCAAAAGAATTAAGGTAATATGTATACGATAAATTTGCAATGTAGAAAATGCAAATATTTAGCAATTTAGTTGCAAAATTTAGCAAAGAATTGTATTCATGATCAATTTTTTATTTACAATAATCACTTTTGTAAAAGTTTCTCATGGAAGGCTAGAAGAAGGGAATCCAGGACAAAAAATGAGAAATTACAGATATTTGCACATCCTTATTGAAAGAGGCTCCTCATGACTTTTGGGGGTCATATTTGCAAACATTTTTAGAACAGCATAAATAACTAATTTCATACCTTCACTAATACTTGTAAAACAGCTTTCTTTTACATGAAAAATATCTTTTTGATATGTGCATGTATCCATGCATCATATAAGAATCCATTTCTTAGCCAGGTGGTGGTGGCACACACCTTTAATCCCAGCACTCGGGAGGCAGAGGCAGGCAGATCTCTGTGAGTTTGAGGCCAGCCTGGGCTACAGAGTGAGTTCCAGGAAAGGCTCCAAAGCTACACAGAGAAACCCTGTCTCAAAACAACAACAACAAAAGAATCCACTTCTTTTAAATCTTGAACTATGATTTAATTTGACTCAAAACTGCATTGTTTGGGGGGCTCATTTGCCAAATACCAATTATTCTGACAAGGGGGAAATTCTTTACATGAGATGCTCTTTGGTAAAGGCTTTGATAAATATTAGAAACAGTAAAGAACTGACACTTGCAATTTATGATAGACTTGAATAGTCAACATACATTTAGTATGTGGTGTGTATTATATACCCATCATAAGTGTGTATATGATTTGCAATCATTTGGGTTACAGTTTGGCTGTGTGTAATAGATCAGTGTGCAGAAAAATTCGGAGGAGCACTTTATCACTTCTGTTAATGTTGTTTTCAACAGTTCAGTGAAAAATATGCCAGCGTACACAATAAATATTAAAAATTTTCTGTTCAAATTTTAGCTTACAAAGTATACTAAAGTAGCTTTTCTAAATGTTAGGTATTTAGAAAGAAAGAACTTAAAATATGAATGAAAGTGATATTCTGAATAAAGATAATATCCATTTCTTGCCTTAACTCTTCAGAAAGGGAAGTATATCCATGGTAAACATATCTTTATTTTCTCTAGAAACACTAAGATTTATAAATACAATCCATTATGAGGTAGTTAGAAATTAAACATTGTGTCTTGACTGATAAAAAAAAACTTGCATAAGAACATTTGGTAAACCTAAGAGTAGGTTTTTACTCTTATATTGTTTTACAATTTTTTATACTTTCTGGATTTGTACAAAAACTTCCAGTTTTCTTCATATGGAAAAGAACAATACCTAAGTCCAGATATCCAAGAGAAATTTGATGATTTTGACACAAATCAATTATATAAATAAATGGGTCTCACTGTGATAAAGCTTTGCATTCCTGTGTTATGCATTCATCATGAGCAAACTCCCTTCTATTGCTCTTTATCTGGTATGACCTGTTCAGCTGATATCCCATGTAGGCCTGCTTTTTTTCTAAAGGGAAACAGAGGAGAGTGAACGTGGGGGAGAGGGGAAGAGGGAGGGGGAGGCTGGGAGAGGAGGGAGTAGAAACTGCAATTGGGATGTATTGTATGAGAGAAGAATAAAAGATAAAGGAAAGAAAGTGCCAAATTATACATGAATATATACATGTATCTCTTTTATATGATGACTATTTTCTTTGGTCAGATTCCCAGGAGGGGGAGAGCTGAATCATGTCACAGTTCTACTACAGTTTTTGTTTTGTTCTGTTTTGTTTTAGCAACATTCATACTAATTGCTACATAGGTATTCCCCTTTCTTCATATTAAAGCCAGAATTTGTTGCCCCCTCCCTCCTGTCTTACTAATTCTGACTGGGGAAAGCTAGCATCTCAATGTAATTTCTTTTGCAGTTACCTGAGGACTAAAGGTGTTGAATATCTAAACGATATTTCTCAGTCATGTGTATTTCCTCTTTTGAGAAGCCTCTGCCACAATTAAAAATATTTCCTTCATTTTTAATAATTGTTATCATTTCCCTTTCCAAGCTCTTCTATATATTCTTCCTTCTTCCCTTTCAAATTCATGGACTCAGTTTTTTATTAATTGTTGTTGTGTATATATTTTTTCTAGGCCCTGCTGAATTTAAAATTTTCTGTTAAATAATCTTTTGTTACTCCAATAGTCCACCTTTATATGTGAATGACCTTTCCACTCTTACAGCTTTCAATATCCTCTCTTTAATCTCTATCTTTTAATGCTTTAGCTAGTCATGCACGCGTGCGCACGCGTGCGCACACACACACACACACACACACACACACACATATATATATATACATATGTATATATATATATATATATATATATATATATATATATATATATATATATATTCCTAAGTACACAAATACAATCTGCCTTGTCTGTATATTATGATTGTATGTATGTTTTCAAGGATAATCATTTGGTATTGGAAAACCAATTGGTGTGTTCAGGAAGATTATTTCTCTTACTCTCAGAATTCCTTAGCTGCCTATAGCTCTTTGTGTAGGGTTGTGGCCTCAAGGACTTTCTCCCAAACTCATTAGCATGTCCGTTTTTGTTGTCCTTGTTAAGATCATGTTTGGGCAGTCATGTTGGTGGAACTTTATAGGTATAGCTTCTGAAATTGCTCTGCCTTCCCCACCCTAATGGACTCTGTCACTCTTTGGTAGTTGATTTTTTTGTTTGTTTGCTTTTTGTTTTTTGTTTTTCGAGACAGGGTTTCTCTGTGTAGCTTTGCGCCTTTCCTGGAACTCACTTGGTAGCCCAGGCTGGCCTCGAACTCACAGAGATCCGCCGGCCTCTACCTCCCGAGTGCTGGGATTAAAGGCGTGCGCCACCACCGCCCGGCGACTCTGTTACTCTTGAACCATAAGCTAATATATTTTTTTTTATTCTTTAAGTTGTTTTGGTCATAGTATTTTATCACAGGAACAGAAATGTATAATTCAATAGTTTTTCTAGATATAATAGTCTGAGTTAGCAGTTGTGGTATTTACAGACATTCAATACCTCTTTATAAGCACTACTGGATTTAAAAGATTCTGTTAAATAATCACTTCTTACTCTAATGGATCTGCTTTATAAGTGAATGACCTTTCTCTCTTACAGTTTTCAACAACCTTTCTTTATTCTATATCTCTCAATGTTTTAACTACAAGATATCATGGGGAGTTTGTTTTCTGCTCCTGTCAATTTGATGTTCTATAGAGTTCATACATATCTAGGCAACATATTCTCTAGGTTTGGAAATTTTTCTTCTATATAATTGAAAATGTTCTGTAAATGTTTGCTATCTTCTCCTTCCTCCATGCCCATAATTTGAAAGTTAAATCTCTCCACAAAGTCCAAAACCTTTTTCTTGTTCTATTTTAAAAAATAAATTCTCGTCAACTTTTACTCTATGATCAAATTTCTCTACTCTCATCTAGTTCTGCGTTTTTGCCCATATGATCCAGTCTGTTGATGAAGTGATCATTGAAGTTTTTAATTCCCACTGTCATTTCAGTTTGTTTTTTCTTCAGTAATTGTACATCTTTATTAAATTGTATTTTATGTCATGGATTGATTTTGATCCTTTTGTAGTATACTCATACCCTCTTTTAGTTGTTTACTCAGTGCTTTATTTCAATTCGTTTTCTGGAAGATCTAGGCAGTTCTCATTGTTTCTAGCCAGCAGTTTCTATTCCTAGTCTTCTTTTGAGAGTTTACTACACTCTGTACAAAGAGACATTATCCAAGAGTCAACATGTCCTTTGTTGGTCCCCTCCTCTGCTGTCTTCTGGTGTAGTTGTCCAAGTCCACTTGACTGACACTGAAGAAGTTCTGATCAACTGGTTCAGTGAGATTAAGATCTGAGAAGCTAGGTATGTAATGAGGAGACCTATGGAGTCAGAAGGGGAAGAACTTACCTGGGGGCACTGGAAAGTGGGATCACAGTAAAGCAGGCAACTTATAAAGTAGGAATGACTCGGCCTTTCATGGTGGTGAGAGATCACAGAGGAACTATGAAATCTGGAAGCACTTGGAGGCAAGATTCAGGAGTTGCTGACAGGACAAGTGAGGACGAATGATATCTGCATAGTAGCTCAAAGAAGCAAGATTACAGAGGAGA